CGACCCCTATAGCAGCCTTCTAAAGCTGAATAATATTCTACTCTGTGTGTGTGTGTGTGTGTGTGTGTGTGTGTGTGTGTACATAAAACATCCTGCTTTTCCATTTTCCTGGTGATGGACAGTTTGGCTGTTGCCCCCTGTTGGCAGGTGTGAGTAATGCTGCTGAGCACATTGGTACCTTTTACAGGTCTGAGTCCCTGCACTTCTCTTGGATATATACAAAGAAGTCAAACTGCTGGATCTATTGACAGCTACAGCTATGTTTCATTTTCTGAGGAGCTCCCATGCTGCATTTCATAATGGCTGTACCATGTTACATACCCACCAAGGATACGTAATTCTAATTTCTCCACAATCTCGTCAACATTTACTGTTTTGTTTTTAAGAATTTAGATTTCAAGAAAAGAGATATAAAATGAAGTTTGTGCATCTGACTTGGATTTATTAGTTGGGAATTTTTGACAATTGGTTAAACAATTATCCTTGAACATATACATAAGTAAAATGTGAGTGTGCATGAAAATTTGCTTACTATGAAAATGGCTAATTACAAGAGAGGTGGTCATGAAAGAGGACTCACTTCTTGGCTGGGCAAACTTGGGCAAGTTCCTTTGTTTGTCTGGGCCTCAGGCATAGGATCTATGAATGGGAAAAGCTAACTTAGCTGCCTCCTAGCCTTGTTGAGATGATTAAATTGGTTCACACTTTAAAGCTATTACAATAGCTCAGCAGATTAAAGGGCCTGCGAGCAGGCGCAAGAGCCGGGTTTCAATCCCAGGACCTGCCATGCCAGTCCCTCCCCCAGGACACGCTGATATGGCAGTTGAGGCTGAATGTGGTGGCACGTGCCTGTAATCCTAGCACTTGGGAGGTTGAAAACAGGAGGATCACTATGAGTCCGATCTAGTAGTGAGACCCTGATGCTCGGTAGACTCTTCCCTAAAATACAGAAAAAGTAAATAAATAAAGCTATTACAGCAGTGTCTGGCACCCAGAAATGTCAGATATACCCTGGTACCTGTATAAAGGTTGGTAATTTGTCCATAACTGAAACACCAGCTCTTTCTTTTCCTCAATTTTGCTCTTGTTTACCAGGGATCCAAATCAGCCCACACTAGAATTTTTTTTTCATTTCTTTTTAGCAGATTTGCCCAAACATACCCAAAACACTGAAACCTTTAAAGACATTTGCTGCCTCACTAGATGTTAAGTACTTCTTAAAAGGGAAAACTTCATAGGAGGGAAATATAAAATTACTTTCATATGGACAGGACTGTAAATGGGATTATTTTCTTGGGGGAAAACTTCATAAATGGAAACCTCTTAATATGGTAAATGACTGAATTTAAATACCTTTTCTCTTTGAAAATGCCGTGCTATGGTCTTCATTATTTGTTATATTTCTAAAGTGGTTTTCTTCCCAGGAAGCTCATTACAAATTGTCTCCTAACTGGATTGAATTCAGCTCTTTTGTAGAGGAACCACAAAATGCACCAGAAACAGATCACAGAGCCTGCAAATGGAGGCTCAGCGTTGTTTTGTATGGATAGCGCATTTTATGTAGTACGACACCACTGTTGATCATTATGGATGCAAGTTCTTTTATCCTCTTAGGCAGAATATTCTCAGTTATGAGCTTGATTCAAACTAGAGTAGACAAGATGTAGATTTCTTAGAAAGTGGGCTTCTAATGGAAATACTGACAACCCATTAACAGCAGGAGGGCTAATGGCTGCCACTAAAAATATACTTTAAGATTACAGTAATAAAAACACATATTTTAAAGTGCCTGCTAGAAGTTTGAGGATTTTTTTAATGTTGCTGTTAATAATAGGCCACCCAGTCCTTTTGGCACTTGATTTTGTCTCATAAATGGGCCTAATCTAAGGTAATGCTGTTGTACTGTGCTCTTTTTCCTGTTTGATTTTGAGGGGGTTTAATGTCTTTTTGTAGAATTACTAGTATCCTTAATGGAAAGTAAATAATTGGTATACTCATAGATGTGTAGAATTTTAAATCTGGAAAGGATCTTAGCAATCAGCAAGTCATCTCTATTATATCTGCTAGAGGAAACTCAAGACTCTGAAAGGTAATGGGTTAGGGCCTCGGAAGGAAAGATGGGTACTTAGGGGAATTGATAATGTGCCTGAGATTATAGTATTTTCTCACCTGTATCATTATTGCGGTGCCTGTTCTTCTACCTGAGCTCCTCACCCAGGTTACCTGAGCTATCATTCTTTCTTCCTGCCATAATACTATTTTATGATGATTAAAGTAATACAGTCATCCCTCAGTATCTGCAGGGGACTGATTCCAGAACTTCCTCAAATACCAAAATCCGTAGATGCTCACATCCTTTATATAGAATGCTATGATATTTGCACAAAGCCTCCTCAACACCCCCCCGTACTTTAAATCCCCTTTAGATGGCTTATAGTACCTAATAAAATGTATCCGGCATGTACACAGTTGTTACATTTAGGTGAACAGTGAGAAGTGAGAAGTCCACACATGTCCTTTATAGACACAATTTTTAATCTGAAGCTGGTTGAATCCAGGGCTATGGGGCTCACAGATAGGAAGGGATGGCTGTATTCATTACAGAATTATTAAAAAGTAAAGACTAAAAGGAAACCAAAAAATCCCCGCAGTCCCATTGCCCAGTTCTTTCTTCCATGTAGATTATATACATTCTTTTGCATCATTGAACTCATGCAACACATCCTAATCTGCAGCCAGTATTAGTGACTTTGCGATCACTACCAAGTATTTTTATATTATTAAATATCCCCACGGAACCTGGTCTTTATCAGCTGCTCAGCCTGTCACTTTGGAGTTGTCTAAGATTTCTCTAACCTATTTAGGCTTTTGCAGTTTTGTCTGCCATGACACTGCAGGGAACACCCATATATATGATAAAGATTTACTCACATCTCTCATTATCTCCTCTGGCAAAAACAGCTTTTGCACCTATTGCCAAATTACCCCTCAGGATAGTTTTTCTATGTTAGCCTCCTACCAGGACTAAAATGAATGTGCTTTTTTGCTGTGCCCACATCTGCATCAGCCATCGCAAACTAAAAAGCTTTTAGTACTCTGATGTATAAAAAGTATCCCATTTTAGGAATTTGCATTTATTTGATTACTAGTGATGTTGAACACTTTTATAGTTCACTTAGAAATTTCTTTTGTGAATTTCCTATACACGCCATATGCCTCTTTTGTCATTAAGGTTTTTATTTTAAATAATTAATTACTTATTTATTTGGTACAGGGTCTCACTATGTAGCTTGGATTCATAGGGATCCTTCTGTCTCAGCTTCCCTAGCTCTGGGATTACAAGCACGTGCCACCATGTTCAGTTCCCGGGCCGGCACAGCATGCAGTACTGGGGATTGAATCCAGGTCCTTGCTCTTGGCAGACAGGCATTTAGACCACTGAGCTTTCTCCCCAGCCCCTTCATTAAGGTTTTTAGCATTTTATTTATAAGCACTATTCATATACCAGGACCTATAATCTGTATTAATCTTTTAAATTGCACTGACTCCACAGGTTCTCTATCACCCAAGTTACACCCCAGTCCCTGTAGTCAAATGTTGCAAATTTTTTCCCCTTTTGTTTTAAATTTCCCTCATTTTACTTCATGGTATTTTCTTCAAGTGTAAAAATTTTAAATCTTTGTGTAACCAAGCATCAGTCTTTTCTTTCATGATTGATTTCTTTGCTTTTATGCTCACACTCAGACATTTCTAAGGCACAAATCTGATCATACCTTTCCCTTGATTGAAATTTTCCTGGGGCTCTTGGGGAGGCAGTATCCCTCCTTATGGCGCTTTGGGCCTAGGCTATTGTTATCGGTAGGTGCTTGGGATTGCAGTCATGCTAAGCAACATTTACTTACTACACTCTACTTGGCACCCTCTCCATGGAAAGCCAGGTCCGCTGTGCCAGCCTCCACAAGCCTACGCTCCCATCTCTAGCCCCTCTTCTAGTGTATTGTGGAAGACCTAGCTCAGACCTGGCCACCTCCTTTGTCTTCAGCTTCTCCTTCTCCTTATGCAACATCTGGTCTCCAGAGGGCCTCCATAATTTGTAAAATGAATAACCCAGATGACAAGCAAAGTCTAAAATATCCAGTAGGGTTGAGTATTATTTAATCCAAAAATTTGAAGTAGGAAATGCTGCCAAATGCACAATTTCTTGAGTGTCAACATGGTGCCACATGTTAGAAAATGCTACATCTGCCTTCACGTGCCATAAACAAAACACAAGTACACCAGAAATACTGCATAAAATTGCCGGTAGGCCAGTATAGAAGGTATATATGAAACAAATTTTTATTCAGACTTGGGTCCCATCCCCCAAGATATTTCATTATGTATATGCAAATATTACAAAATCCAAAATATAAAACACTTCTGATTCTGGATAAAGTAAAGGCATTTTGGCTCATAGTTTCAGTCCATGGTCACTTGGCCCTGTCACTTTCGGCCTGTGGTGAAGCCATGCCTCACGGTGGGGAGCCCACAATGGAGCAAAGCTGCTCACATCATAGTGTCCAGGAAGTGTAAAGAGAGAGAGGAAGGGGAAGGGACCCAATACCCCCTTTAAGTTTTCCTTCCTCTAGGCCTACCTCCTAATGTTTCCATCACCTTCCAGTAGCACCATCAGCTGGGAACCAAGCTTTTAACACCTTAATTTTGGGGAGAAACACTTAGCATCCAAACCATGCTAGTCTTAAAAACATGGAATATAAGGGGCCGGGGAGATGGCTCAGTGGAATAAGTGTTTGCCTGGCAAGCACAAGGGCCTAAGTTCAATCCCTGGTTCCACCAAAAACAAAAAAACAAAACAAAAAAAACCATAGAATATAGTACAAGTCAGTGCTTGTAGGTGGAGGTGTTTCAGGGTGGGGTCTCTCTTCTCTGCCTTTTCTTGTGCTTTGCTGCCACCTGAGATTGCTATGTTAACACAAGTTTTCTCTCAAATTTCTCTCTAGAAACAGATGTTCCAGGAGAGAAGTAGCCGGATGCTACAGGCCTTATCCCCGAAGCAGAGTCCTGTGAGCAGCCCAACCAGGAGCCGGTCCCCTTCCCGCTCCCCATCACCCACCTTCTCCTGGATCCCGAGCAAAACCTCACCCCCATCCTCACCCAAAGCTGCCTCAGCCTCCATCAGCAGCATGAGTGAGGGGGATGAGGATGAGAAGTAAAGGTGGCTGTCAGGCAAGAGCCACACCACGCAGGATGGGGAGAGGGGAAATGGGGGATGCCTGGGTGGTGTCTGAGGGGGGAGAGTCACAGGAGCTGCTGCTCAGGAGGGAGATGCTGAGGAAAGGTCTTGGGATGGGTTCTCCCTCATTCTCCACACAGCCCAGTGTGGGCTCAGTATGGAGGTTTCCAGCTGGACAACCTGTACAATCTTATCATCTAGAACCACTCTACTTTAACCTTGCTGAGGAAAGGTGCAGAGCACCTCAAAGGGTCTTTCATGAGGTGGGGTAACTTCTGCTTTGACCTATAACCCCATCCCCATCAAGTAAACCACTTGTGGTCGCAGCTGTTCCCTCAACCTGCTACTTCTGCCTCTATAAGGGCCCTGCACGTTGCCTCCTACCACCCAGAAGCTCTGCCAGATTAAATTCATTTTCAGTAGAGGCGGCAAAGTGCTATCGAAATAGTCGAATTAAAAGACAAATTCCAGCCTTCCCAGTTGAGCCATTAAGACTTGATGTTGCGGTGCATCAACTCATACCAGTGGCAGGACCGTGGCTCAGAGACTAAGCCCCGCTTTGGGCCAGATGTGAAAGGTGATCTAGTGTGAACCTTAACTTCTCATGCAAAGGACAGTTTTGTTGAAGAGAACTCTATCTAAGGCCTAATGTGTTCCTGGCTGTACTTTTTCATCATTTGGTTGACTTCACTTGTTTTCCAGAAATTACCTTAACCTATGAGAACTGCAACAAGGAAAAACATCCTGTATTGAAAAAGAAAGAGGAGCTACTTTTGCATTACTCCAAATTTGGCAGATAAGAAGGGTCTCCTGAAGCTTCTCTTAAAGGACACAATTATGGAATGCCTTTCCCATTTCCGGCCAGTTAACAGTTTCATAGACCTCAAGTAACAGTTGGCAGCACCAAACACATAGTAATTCAATAGGGGTGCTACCTGCACGTATCTGTTCTATGTGTGCTCCAATATGCTATCCCAGGGTGTACATCATATGCAATACGAATATGTGTTGGTAGCATTTTCCAATATACTCCTCTCCTGCTCTCTATCCTAATACCCTGCTAAAATTCTTGATCTAAAGAACCATTTTGTTCCCTTGTGACTTGGGCACTTAGTCAAAAGCTAATGCCAGATTCCCATAGAAATGTTTTGTCCAAACCAGGAAATTACCATTGTTTTCATAGTCTACCATAACTTTTTTGAGGGTAAAGGAAGGCTTGGAAAATTTTTGCTCAGGGCTGTGGGCTTAGTTTATTAAACAGTCTAGGTAGTGTTGCAGCTGTCTCTGGCACTTAGGTTTGCCAAATGGCACGAAGACTTTCGGAGCCTGCAGAGGTGTGGGAAGTTGCTGCTGCCTAATTGCATGAAATGGACAGGTAGAGTCAGGGCTTAGAACCTAACTCTTGGTCAGATGTAGCTATTTTCAGAGTATGCTGGTAAGGTATGACAGAGCTGGCAGCTGACTGGGGAGAGGCCCCAACCAGCAACTTGTGGGCAGATCCCAGTACATCCTGTGACAGAAGAACCCTTTTGTAGAGGCCTTGGGAATCAGCTTTCTGAGAGCAACCAGTGAAGGAAGATGGCACATCTGTGCCTTCTTAGAGACAAGTGGTGTTTACTAGAAAGCAAAGCTATGAGGCTAAGCTGGCTTGGGGCCTCCTTGTTCCTGGCACTTTCTCCAAAATTCTGAAAAACGCTTGTATAGGACAGAGGGCAAGCAGAAAGATGGCCCCTGAGAAGGAAAATTTCTTTTTGAACCAAAGTCTTCCCTTTTGATGTCATTGTACAGAGAGAAAGGCGAGAGCTACATTCCTCCATACTGACTCCCACTGAGCACCCAGAACAGATGAGCCTTGCATGCCTGCCCCGTCTGCTGAGTGACACATGTAGCAGTGAAAGGACATGATGACAAGCCTGGCAAGGGCAGGAGGTGGGAATGGGAGGAGAGAAAAGGCTCTTGGAAAGAGGGAGGGAAGACAAAGAAAATCTGTTCTGTTAAGCTATACCAGGGCCTCATTTTGTAGGTGAAACGTTCCTGGGGAAGCCATTTAATGCTCCGATGCCATGGCCCAGGGCAGATAGATCCACTTTAACTAGAGTCCTGCTCTAAAGCAAACTCTGGGATTGATAAATCAGGCTGACAATAAATTTTCAGGCCTTATGCACCACAATGACAAGTGCCATGTATGTGACTCATCACAGGGTGCCATCATAACTGCCAATTATGGGAAATGACCAAGGCCTGGGATACTCCAGGGATGGGCCCAAATAACCCATAAATGGCTTCTAAATCTCATCCCCCTAACCTTCAACAAAACCTTGCCACCTTCCTGGGGACACAAGTCTCTTGAGAAGGAGCAGGGAAGATTCCAGAGCCCCACCTAGTCCTCTTGGACATCTCTCAGTTTCTCCTTGCCCCTATTGCCTACCTTGCCTGCACCCAGGAGGAGCTGGGCTTGGGCTTTGGGCCATCCAGGCACCTATCATGGCCAAGAGCAAGTTAAGGCTGAAACAGGAAATAGAGAACATGTGCTAAAATCTTGGAAAGGTAAGCAGAAGTGACAGAAAGCAAGGAAGAGATGTCTTTTGCTCTGGGAATGGGAGGTGACTTCAGAGGGAGGAGGGCTCATGGATAGCGCCTTCGGATTGTGGAGGGGGCAGGCAATGAAAATGGGAGAACATGGGACAGAATGGGTGGGGATTTGTAGCGTACCTTTTTTGCTACTCCCGTCGTCCAAGTGTTCACTTAGCCCAAGTAAAATAGGAGAATTTGTTACAGTACAAACTTCCAAGGTTAGGGGATAGCCATGCAGTGGCTGGGCTCCCCAATTCTCCTTTCAGCACTCCATACCCTCCTGATGGGGACCCTGAGATTAAGTGTCGACTTCCTTGTCTAAGCTAAGCATCTGAGGCTGGGACAGTCACACTTAATAGCAACAAGCTCCTGGGTGCCAGGTCCTTGCTAAGGCAGAGGTGAGGCAGCCTTGCAAGAAGCAAGACACAGATGTGGCCTGGCTCCTGACTTGCTCTGGACAGAAGAGACGCTGCTGTGGGATTTTGGTCTCTTAGGCTACTAGATGCTGGTTCCATCCTTGAGGAAGGAACAGAAGAGCACAGATTTATTTTCTCTCCATCCTCAGAACAATTTTAGCACCCAGCCATACCCCAGGGAGAGATGTGACATGACGTCACTGGCTCGGCTGCATCAAATGAGCCCCTATCTAGCAGAGATGCGCCGGTGTCGCAGGCATCCATTCAGCACTTGTCCAAGCCATCTGAGTCTAAAAAAAGAAATAGCTCATGATGCATATGCAACTTCCCTTCCTCTTGTGACTGCTCTCTAGTTTTTTGTTTTGGTGTGTGTGTGTGTGTGTGTGTGTGTGTGTGTGTGTGTGTGTGACTGCAATATGTCTGGGGACAAAGCCATAAGAAAAGCATACATACTTAAGACTCTGCTGTACATAGAAGACAAGAATATGACTCATCTGTGTTGTAGCACGACCTTATGCCCAAGCATTTGATTTGCTCTGGTGCTGAATAATGCGAACTACTGGAATCAGCCCCTCTCCTTGTACCCCTCCCCCACCCCCTGCTCCCAAATGGAACACAGCATTCCTGATTTGTTTATAAATAAAGGGATGCACAATTGCAGTTTTGCTCATCGTGTTTCTTTTCTTTCTTTCTTTTTTTATTTTAGAGAAGGGTCTACAGGGTGTTCAGGGTCTGGGTCTCACTACTACATCAGACTCGTAGTGATCTGCCTGTTTGCAGCCTCCCAAGAGCTGAGATTACAGGTGTGCACCACCACACCCAGTCTCAGTTGCTGTCTCAGTGCACCCCAGGGGTATGGCTGGCATAGCAGGCTTGGGGATCGAACCCTTGGCCCCTGCACCTGCCTGCAGGTGCTTTAATCCACTGAGCTATTTGGCCAGCCTTTTCATTGTGTTTCTTAAGTGTGTTGCTGTGTGTTCCTGTTTAAGAGCTCTAGCTCACTGTGAAAAATACAGGCAGTGGAACAGCTGTACTGCCTGTGATGGGCTCTGGCCAGCTGTGGCCCTGGTGCCCCAAAGGATCTGCCTCTAGGGGTCGGGGAGATGGCTCAGTAGAATAAGCACTTGCCTGGCAAGTGCAAGGGCCTGAGTTCAATCCCCAGTTCTGCCAAAAAAAAAAAATCTATCTCTGCACTGTATGGAATGGGACCAAGTCCTAAAGTTGCCAAATCACCCACAACTTGATTTAAAAGATTAGGTGGGATTGCAAGTATATTTCAGTAGTAGAGCACATGCCCAGTATCAGATAGACAGACCCTGGGTTTGAACTCCAGCATCATCCACAGAAAAAGAGAAACAGATCCACCTGGAGAGATCTTCCTGTGCTGAGCCCAGCCAGGAGCCTGAACTGTAGTCCTGCCCCTCATTTGCTTTGTGATCTTGGCCAAGCCACTTTATTTCTCTGGCCTCAATGCCTGCTTTTGTAAAATGAGTGGCTTGGAGGAAACGGTTTGTGAGATCTTCTCCCAGCTACCCTGCTGCCACTGAGTGAGCAGGGGAACACACTTCTCATTGAGTGAAAGCTAGGTGGGGGTGTCTTCCAGCCCCTGGGGACCTCTACAACCAGCAGCATTGGGGGGACCTCACTTTCATAATTAGAGCATGAAAGTAAAAGTCTCTCAGGTCCTACCTCCTGTCCCCATCTCTCCACTTGACATCTCTCCACTTTTCAAACATATGTAGACTTTGGGAAGTGGCAATTGAAACCACTCCTCTCTTTGGGATAAGGTTTCCTTGATCAACTGGAGGTGGAGGTTCTAAATCAGGACCCCAAATGGCAACAATGAAGGCAGATACATTGTTGCCAGAATCATGTCCACACCCTCCCCTCACCAAATATAGGCACTTCCATTCATGTGCAGAGGTTTAGCTCTTTGAAATGACGACAATTGTCACATGAGCCTGGGCTCTAGAATAAATGAAGCCAGGATCATAGTCAGTAATGGAATACATTTTAAAGCATAACACCTATTATTTATATTATTTGGCTCTGTCATATAAATCAAGTACATTCTTCAAAGCATTTATTTTGAGTAATTGCTGAAATGCTCAAGATGAATTGGATGCTGCAACAGCTGCTCTCCTGGGTTTAGGTGTCATTCCTTCACGGAATCCATGCCTGAATCTACAATATACAATTTTTAGGTGCCTCATTCGACCAGTTCAGGTGGTATTTCGCCTTTTAGCCTTTGCACTCCAGTTATACTTTCTCTTGCGCTTGGCGGGATAACCACATTTGCCACAAGTCAATTTCTGAAGGTGGTAGGGCTTAGAGCCACAGCGGCGGCACAACGTGTGTGTCTTACTAGGACGCTTTCCAAAGGATAACGTTCCCTTAGTCATCTTGCTTGTGCTGCCAAGATGAAAGAGCTCAAATACATTCTTCACAAGTTTATTTAACATAACTGTTTTTTGGTTTCTTCTTGACTTCTATGATACCTGACACATGTTCCCAGGGAAAACACAGTAAAATCACATTGAAGGGCATTGATATTTGACCCAAAAGGAATTAGCTTTTACTGATAAACAGAACTCCTGGGGGGAAGGGGATCCTATCAGAAATGTCCCCACCCCACACATTTCTCTTATGTTGGCGTTCTCATTGGTTATTGGAGTCAAATGTGTTGGATAATTCTCCAAGTACTCAGCAAGAATCATTAGATAAGAAGACACCTGCTGTGCACACAAGGTGGCATACACATCTGCAATCCCTGCTACTCAGGACGTTGAGACAAGAGGGTCAAAAGTTGGAGGCCAACCTGTGCAACTTAGTGAGAACCTGTCTCAAAGAAAATAATAAAGAGGAGAGCTAAGTATGTAGCTTAGTGCTCCCTGGATTCAATCCCACATACCACAAAGCAAAAACAAAACACACAAGACTCCCGTAGAGATTCTTTTAAGACACTGAGATAATTCATATACATCCAAATGTATCCAGTGAGCAAATCCTTTAAAAAAACATGAAGTAAAAACCAGTAAAATCTGAAAATATTATTAAGAGCACTAATATCTATCAAAGCCAAGTAAAGCATGTTAAGGCCTTTTTGAACTGCCACAGCTTGAATTCTACGTAGGATTTTTTTTTTGTACCAGGGATTGAACTCAAGACCTTGTGCTTCCAGGCAGGCATTTATGGTGCTGAGCTATATTACCTGTCCCATAACTTGTATTCTAGAAAGGA